ATCGGGTACTCCCCGTATCTCCCCTCGTTCCCGGGCAGGGAGGAACGGGTTTTCACCTTCTTCGAAGGTGGTTCTTCGCCTGGTTCGTCCATGGACGATTCAATTGAATACGTCGATGTAGAACCTGCTTGTTCCCCTCTGATAGAGGCGCTCCCCGTTGTCATCAAACCCTGGGATGGCTGCAGATAACTCTGTGGAGGCGATGGATGGCTCCCTGGAGTCATTGTCGTCGCCCCATGTTGTGTCATCCCAGGACCCATCCACACCGGTCCAATACTTGATGGTAAATCTGGGGTCGACTCGGTTGTCTCCATCATCTGGAGGGATGCCGAGTCGTCCAAGCACTTCTTCCCGAAGGGATTCTTCGCCTTCACCATCTCGGTGATCCTCGCCCTGAAGCTCGAGTGTGGGGGCTCGGTCTTCTCTGTCGGGTAAGGGGTGTCGAAGCATGTCTCGCTCCCCCCTTGGCCGTTTATACACTAGTGCATTTTCTAGCTTGGCATGCACAGAGCCTCTTCACCGTCTCTGGAAGGAGGGGTGGTGCTTCTGCTGTGGACACAAGGGACATCAGAAGCAGGACAATAAGTGCCCGAAGGATGAAAGCACCTGGTTGGTCAAGGACCAACCAAAGTTCTCCCATGCTGAAATCCATGCATTGTATGAAGAGTTGTGAAAGGAAGAAGAAGCAGAAGCATCGACATTGAAGGTGGAGGAAGTAAAAGACTAGCCAGCAGCATTAGTGACAAATGCTTGTTGGCTAAAAACCTAATTTCATTTAGTGGTGCACCCTCGATTCCTGCAGAAGGGGCTAAAAATATTTTTGTAGTATGTAACAACAATACACGCATCTGCCATAAAAACGAGATTGAGGAGTCGCAAAAAAACAAAGGCATAGAAGAGGATTCCCACTGCCCACAGTCACGAGGCCTCACGGTGAGCAATGAACCTCCAGGCATCATCGACGAGACCCTGCCTGACATTATGGAGAGAGTTCTGGATGCAACAGAGAGGCCCCCTCATCAGGAAAAGACTGGGCCCAGTAGCCCCAATGGGAAAGAATGGGTAATGGCCGTGGAGTAAGCAGCTGAGGCCATGAACCCAAGGGACCCCTCCCGTTTAGTAGCCATAGGAATGCAGGATGCAGCAGCAAACAATGCAGAGCTCCTGGGTGAGCCAAAATGTGTGCACTCATCTCAGGTTCCCAGGAGTACTGTCGGGTCCAGGAATGAGGAATGGGAAACATGGGAGATTACAATGCCACACACAAACACCCTTTTGGATGACAAGGGCTGAACAGAGGACAGCAAGTCCTCCTCCTCCACCTGGACTAAAAGCGACCAAGTGCCGCAAAAGGGTGCCCCACTGCCTGGTGACCAACTGCTGTCACCAGGACCTATCTCGAGTAGGAAGCAGAACATGGTAACTATGGAGGAGGTACTGGATGCGGAAGATGATTACAGCTACTGGTGGAGCCTTCAAGAGCCGGAACACAGGGAAGACCCTGGGATGTCCACAGAGGAGTACCTGAGTGAATATGAGGAGGAACTAGAAGAGGAGTATTACAATGACAAATGGGACAGAGGTTGGCTCAAACCACATAGTGCAGAATGGGTGAGAAGGAAAATAAGGCAAGAAAGGACAATGGAAGGAAAAATAGCCACCCTCAACATGTGGGTGCACCTCCAATGCCTTGTCGAAGTAGATGGGGACCTTGTCCTAGACATCCAGAGCACCTCAAAGGAGACCTACCAACAGCAGGAGCAATGCCTGGATTGGATGGAAGGATTACGATGACCCCCACACTACATGTGAGGAGGCAAGGGACACAGCATCACAATCAGGACCCAGATCAAAACTCTAGATACCGGCAAGACACACACCCTCAAGGCCCTTGTGGATAGTGGCTGCATGGGGAGCTGTATTAACCGGGCCTTTGTACAACAACGGGGGCTGAACACGGTCTGACTACCCAAGGCCCAGGCAGTATACAATGCAGACGGGAGTCAGAACAAGGGCAGGGACATCACGGAGATAGTGGAGTTGCGGCTAACGATCAGGGACCACCACGAGAAAATCAACTTAGCCATTGTAGATCTGGGGATAGTACCTATATTCCTTGGGCATGACTGGCTTAAGCAGCACAACCTGATCATTGACTGGAAGACTGGAGCTGTGTCCCTTGTCCAATGTACATGTCGAAAGGTCCCATTCCTGCTTCCGGATGAGGATCCCAAACAACAATGGGGGATGGAAGTAGAAGAGGGCGACACCATCCTGGTAATAGACTTCCAAGAAGCATTTCATGTACGAGTGACAGGAAGTAAGGCCAATGAAGGGAAAGCCAAAAAGACCTTTGAGGAGATCATGCCTAAACATTACCAGGACTTCCAGGACATCTTCGCCAAGGAGAACTTCGACGAGCTTCCCCCCTGGAAGCCATGGGACCATGCCATAGAGCTAATTCCAAATGCTCAGGCTAGCTTAGACTGTAAAGTCTACCCTCTCAATCCCATGGAACAAGAGCTCAATAAGTTTTTGGATGAAAACTTGGAATCTGGACATATATGACCATCCAAATCCCTGATGGCTTCCCCCTTCTTTTTTGTAAAGAAGAAAGATGGCAAACTATGTCCAGTACAGGATTACCGCAAGCTCAATGAGATCACCATCAAAAATCGGTATCCTCTCCCATTGATTGTGGAATTGATGGATCAGCTTAAGGGGGCCAAATACTTCACCAAACTAGATGTACATTGGGGGTACAACAATGTTTGCATCAAGGATGGAGACGAATGGAAGGCCACTTTCCACACCAACCAGGGACTATTTGAACCCATGGTAATGTTCTTCAGGCTTACCAACTCACTGGTGACATTTCAATGGATGATGAATGACCTGTTCAAGGACCAGATTGCGAGAGGAGACATCACCATGTACCTAGATGACATCCTCATTTGCACCAAAGACCTTGCCTACCACCAAAAGGTTGTACAGGAGGTCCTGGAGATTCTACACAAAAACAACCTTTTCTTGAAAGCAGAAAAATGTGAATTCAAGGTGTTGGAAATGGAATACCTGGGGGTGATCATCAGTGAAGGCTTCATATGCATGGACCCTGTTAAGGTGGCTGGAATCACCCAATGGCCACAGCCCCATAGGAAACAAGAACTTCAATCATTTCTCAGATTTACCAATTTCTACTGGAGATTTATCAAAAACTATAGCAGGCACGTTTGACCCCTCACCAAGCTAACCGGAAAGGTGGAGTGGCATTGGGGAAAGGAACAGGAAGATGCCTTCCAGGACATCAAGAGAAGGCTGGTGGAGGAAGTAATCCTAGCCATCCCCACTAGGCATGGAAAGTTTCGAGTGGAAGCCAATGCTAGTGAAGGGGCTATTGAGACAGTTCTATTGCAGGAACAGGAGGGGAAGCAGCAACCCATAGCCTTTCTCTCCAAATCCTTGACGACCACAGAGCACAATTATGAGATCTATAACAAGGAGCTCCTCGCCATCATGCTAGCACTGGAGGAATGGAGACACTATCTCATGGGTGCACAGCAGGACTTTGAGATCTGGACAGATTATCAAAACCTACAATACTTCCAAAAACCCCAAAAGCTGAACCGAAGACAAGCTTGGTGGGTCTCGGAAATGGCCAAATATCACTTCTCCCTACATCACAAGCTAGGAACAGCAAACAAGAAGGTGGACTTGCTCAGCAGAAGAGCCGACCATGACCAAGGGAAAGGGGGACAATGAGGATGTCATCATACTCAAACTGGAGATGCTCTGGGCCATAATAATGCTGACAGAAGAAGAGATACACTGAGACCTCTGTAGGGCACTTTGGGATGTGACAAAATGGGACAAGGGAATTGAAGCATCACTCCACCATCCACGAGGGATGATGCTGTTGTGACTGCAGCCTATTTACGCATGTAATTTTGCAATCTAACATGTTTTACATGTATACTGAGATATAGTGAGTGAGCGGACTAAAACTATGCATCGACACTAATGCTACACAGTGCAATGATAGGGAATATAACTTATGGCATAAGAAGCAACAGGATTCTAAACAGGACTTAGTCACAGCACTGTACCTGATGGGCATGTGTGATGAGAAGGCCAAACCCTATACCCAATGCCTTAGGCTCTAACTTACAAGCATGCTCGTGGGAGCTAGATAAAACCTTGAAGGTTGCAGTGACACTGAGAATACTTAGCGCGCTCACTAACTGTGACGCATCGTACCTGAAAATCCGGGGAAATTCTTAAGTGAGATGACAGATATCACTGGCACAACCTTGGGCAATGGGCTTCAGCCGAAGTCCACAAGCCCGCACCCCATTGTTCTGAGTCCCATTGTTAGAAGACTCACTTGTTGCCATGTCTATGAGAAGCCTCTGTGAATCCAAGAAAGAAGCCTTAAATGACATATGCCAGGACTGATAGTTCCATGTGCCTAGACCTGTCAGTCATTAGAGAACAAGCCTGTGGGTGTTGGGAGAGCACCTCTTGGCATGCGTTTAGCGAGCTTACTATAGAAATGAGACTAAAACTGGGAAGTCCGACTCGGATGCTCAGTAAAGCAGTGGTGGCAACATGCTATGCATGTAGGAGTCTGGGTACTGTGCGACGTTTGTAATTCCAATTCCCCTGTAGTATAAGTAGACTGGTTATGGTAGATAGAAGGCAAGTTTCGAGCCCCCAAGTTCCCATGCACATGCAGACTCCTTCCCACTCTCCTCAATGAGGGGTAAAACTGCTTCACAGTATGATGAGACCCTAATGTATTTTTATCTTATCTTATCAATACATGTGACTTTCATAAATTTCTTGAACCTTATTTTTTTTTTACCCCCCATTTCGGAGACTGGCGTCTTTTGCAGTGGTGCATTGCGCATGTTTGGCTGAAGCCTCCCTTGCTTGCCTCAGAACGCACTACCTCCATCTGCCTCATGGCTGCTATACATCACACGATGCCTGAAAAGGATGAAGAAGTCCAGGCAAGGGTCGAAGCCATGTTCAGATGCAGCCCCTGTCTATGGCAGATTGAGGTAGCTCGAAGTGTTCTTGCTGGCAAAGACATTATAACTGTAGCTCCAACTGGTGCTGGAAAGTCTTTAACATATTGGATCCCACTGGCTTTCACAGACAAGGGCATAGTGATGGTTGTACTTCCTTTGGAGATTTTGCACAACATGCCCGAAGTGAAGGACCTACACCAAGATGTCAAATATTGTTACATTGTTGTGTTCCAGAATGCTTATGATCTGATTTAACCAAGGTATGCTGCTTTTTGGTTGTGTGTAGCATAACATGCTAAAATGTATGCACGGATAGCTCACTTAGAGGACGGTGTGAGATGAGAGCAAAGATTATTTATTCTGAAAATGAAATTAATTATGGGTAGACTACAATGTGTAGCCAACTAGGCAATATCAGGAACAGCAAAAGGCAGCGAGATTGGCACTGGAGGGGAAGCTTCAGCCAAACATGTGCAATGTGCCACTGCAAAAGACACCAGTCTCCATAATGGGAGATAAAAAAAAAATAAGGTTCAAGAAATTTATGAAGGTCACGTGTATTGATAAGATAAGATATGATGTAAGCTATTCGATACCCCACAGCTGCGAAGCAGCTTTTACCCCCCATGAAGGAGAATGGGAAGGAGTCTGGTGCACATGTTGAAGGTGGTACTGTAACAAAGGATCAGTTTGTGACTTCAAGCTTTGCATAGAATTAGCGAGCTCACTCAGAGAAATATGAGATACCCTTTTGATAAGACTTTTGAGAACTTAGTCAGAGTGAATATGAATCAGTGATGCTGTTTCTGTTCTGTTAAGTGTGATAAGTCTGTTTGGAGAATGTGTTGAAGTGGAAATCTGAGTTCTGTTCTATTCTGTTTCACTCTGTTCTGTGTCAGTTCTGCTCGAAGTTCCATTTCTGAATCTGTTTCTGAGTGCTTCTGAAGTGTTCTTGAGTCGAGATAACCTGCTGGATTTAGTTGGAGAACCCCTACATACAGTTGTGTAGTGAGCAGGCTAAGTCAGTGTTTGCCTGTGGTGTCCTTTCAGTGAGCTCACTAAAGTTTCAGTGTGTATTGCCTCTGTTTCTGTCGGGATCAGTGTCCCCTGTATAATTTAACTCAAATCTGCCTTGAAGGTTGTGTCGTGCCAGTGAACGACCTTCCTGTAAAAGTTCCTAGACTTAGGAATTCATTGAGAGAGCTTAGCTTTGCTAAGAGCATCGAGAATAAGAGAAACTCTTCGAGAATATTGAAGTATAGTTGGATCGCATTAGAAATAATTGCTCCCCCTAGAACTTACGAGGGTGATTGTAGTTTGTGTAGTTGTGTGAGTGTGTGTGTGGGTTTTTGAGGTTCGCCTTTTAGCCCACTCACTATTCAACAGGTGCCCACAGCCAGCCTCTTCAATGCAGGAGGACGGCCTAATATACTATGACAGACGCCTCTATGTGCCAAGGGATGCTGCCTTGAGAGGGAAACTGATCACCATTCACCATGACCATATCACGGCTGGCCACCCTGGCATCAAGAAGACTAAAGAGCTCATCCAAAGAGAGTACTGGTGGCCAAAGCTCAAACAGGACATAGAACGATAAGTAAAAAGATGTGAGGCCTGTCAACTTACCAAAACTAGGACTCAACAGCGCCAGGCACCCCTCCACCCTCACGCCATTCCCAGCCAACCTTGGGAGCACATATCTGCAGATATGATTACTAAGCTCCCAGACTCCAAGGGATACGACTCTATCCTGGTTGTTGTTGACTGCTTCTTAAAGGAGGTCATACTGATTCCCTGTTCGGAAATGCTGACATCTCTCGGGTGGGCCAGAATACTATGGGACCATGTGTGGGCAAAACATGGCATGCCCCAAAAGGTCATCTCAGACCGAGGACCTCAGTTTATCTCCAAGTTCATGAAGGAGCTCTATGACATGCTCCACATACAGGGAAACCCATCAACTGCTTACCACCCATAAATGGATGGGCAGACAGAGTGTGCCAATCAGGAAATCAAAAAGTACCTGCAAATCTTCATCAATCATCGGCAAGATGACTGGAGCGACTGGTTGCCGATTGCTGCCTTCCAACACAATAATCGAAAACACTCGGCAATGGGCTACTCCTCCTTTGAAGTAAACTATGGGGTAAGGCCCCATGTTGCTCCCATCTCTGCCAAACCAGGGGCCAATCCAGCAGCACTCAATTTCATGACGAACATCCAGAAAATCCACAAACAGACCGCCAAAGCCCTAGAACAGGCTGCTACTGCCATGAAAAAGCAATACGATAAGCATCAGCGACCGGCAGTGGAGTACCAGCCTGGCAACAGGGTATGGTTGGACTCCACCAACCTACACCTTCCATGTCCAATGAAGAAGTTAGGGGACAAACATGTGGAACCATTCAAGGTTCTGTCCAAACATGGGGCCTCTGCCTACAAACTGAAGCTCCCTGCCTCCTGGAAGATTCATGACCGCTTCAACAAATCCCTGCTCACTCTGTATCACTCACCAGAATTCCTGAACCAAGAGCAACCCGTGCTGCCTCCCCCAGACCTCATGGATGGACAGGAAGAATTTGAGGTTGAGGAAGTTGTAGATCATCAAGAACGAAGGAGGGGACGTCACACAATAACCAAATATCTGGTGAAATGGAAAGGATATCCATGGGAAGAAAATTCATAGGTCAACGAAGAGGACCTTGGCAACACCCATGATGCAATTGAAGACTTTGAACAGGTATCCTTCCTAACACATCTGCTGGATGACTGGTGGGATCCCGACAATCCAAGGGAAATACTGGATTGGGGACCAGAAACGCCATATGTCTTGGAAGATAAGCTCAACCATCCGCTTGTTCTAGCATTGGAAAAGTACATGGTAAAACCCAACAGCACCCTGCTAGGAGCCTATCTACCCTTTGACAGCATGCTCGCCAAGCAAATATACCCACCATCGTATATAGCAGTCAGGATGACTGCCTTAACGGGGGGTAATATTATGATTTTGCCCCTATACCTACCCTTGTTTACCTTATTCAGACTCATTGTAATCATGTTATGCTAAAGGTCTGACTTTAATCGCATCATTTTGTACTCTTGTAGTTATATTTAGCATATTCAACTTGTATATAAGTAGCTCAACTGCAGGTCTTAAACCTCAGTCTTGAACTAAAGTTTATTCACCTGACTTCTAGTCTGAACTCACTCTCGATACAACTACATTGGTCACTCCCTCTAGACAAACCTGTGAACTCTAATCCTGGTTGACCGAATGCGAGTCACAGGATATTGTTTGATCTTATTTGTGCAAGTCAGTTGCAAACACATGATCCTAACATCATTGACCAATTCATGGAAATGCCCTAGTTATAAGTCTAGGAAGGAGGCAAAGGGAGAGCCAATGTTGAGGATAGGAGAAGGACAGTCCTAGACATTCATGAGGCTACCATTGGAGAAGGCATGTTCAAACTGACTTTTCTGAAGGTGAGGTCATCTACCTGCAAATTTGAGTAGCTTGCTATCACAGCCATAGCATCAAGTTGACAGTCGAAGAAAGGAAAGCAAGCTGTGAGAACTCTGAATGCATCATATGTACCTGAATCATACTTCTCTTCCAAGGATCTTCCTACCCTTGTTGACTACCCTCCCTCCCCTCCTCAACCTGAGGATCTCCCTTCCATCTCCCACCATCTCCTTCCCTCTCACAGCACATTTCTCTGCTTACCCAGATAATGCACCCTCTTTGACCAGTGGGTTTCCAAAATGGAGGATTTACTTGTCTTCCTTCATTTGCCAATATCAAGAGTCCCTCCCTATACAGGCCAGTGCTGTGGTGTTGTTTCCATCAAGAACAAGGACCGTATAGCATTACATGCAGGCTCAGCAATAGCAAAGGGTGTGTGAGGGTGTGGAGTGACTGAGAGGTGGGGTGATCACCATTTAGGGATTGACTTGAAGGAAGACCAGAATCTACCAATGACCTCCTCTCCTGGTCATGGCAAAAGGGGAGGTGGTGGTGGATAGGAAATGACCAGAATGAAAAGACCCACTACACAACTTGGTTGATCTCAACATTGATCCTGGCACAGTGCTTCCAAGGTTTATGCACACGTGTTCAACTCACTCAAGTCATAGATTGACTCTGACAGTCAGCATCTCAATGTTATGGTCATATTTCATTCCAATGCCAGAATCCTTGTCCTCACTGGTGATGTTAAGGAAATATATGGTGGAGAGTTGGTGTGGCAAAAAGGTGTAGAGAATGGTTTTTTATCCTGACTGGACCCATGTGACTTGTGGATGCATGTATTTAAGTAGTGGTGAGTGCTCTCTGTGCCAACAAACTTGTCCTTGACATCTGACATTCTGTTCCAGTGCATGTGCTGCAGATATCACTGTGAGGAAGAGCATAGATAATTCTGACTACTCTCTATGCCATGCACAGGCTGATGATAAATTGCCCAAATTTGAGAATGTCAATGCTAACTGGATCAGTAAAATCATACACTTCCAATGACGCATCAGTATGTGTCTCATCTCTATATGCAAATCAAATTTCTGGCTATTCAAATTCAGTCAGTGGCAATAGAGCACCTCTGGCAGGGCTATTTGAAATAGCAGTAGACTGATAAGGCCCAATAATATGACCATGAAAAGAGCCTACAGGACCTGCTCCACAGTGACATTCCTGCTCTTTACCCTTTATTGGGCCAACAGATCTTGCCAGATGTCAGGCACCCACACTTTAGAGATGTTTGCCTTTTACCAATTCAACCATCCTTGATTTTCAAACCTGATGATCTCTTGACCGTCGATGCAAATGTTGCTGGACATTCCAAATATTCAATATACAATGGCTTTTTATCCCTTTTCTCCCACCTCTTCCACCACTATTCCATACTCATGACTGGCCCTCAAGGCATATCACCACATACCTCTACCTCCTTCCAGCTCAAGCTTTCCCCTGTCAAGTAGAAACATGATTGAAAGGACACCACACGACATGTTGCTGATGCAGCCTATGAACATGCCAGACATGCCTTGATGAAGAAAGTCAGAGAAGCTGAGACATGGGCACAACAGGTGGCTGAGAGGGTAGACACTGCAGATGATGACTTGATGGAAGGGTGGGAGGACATGAATGAAGCTGCCCAACAGGATAATACAACAGAGCTCCACTCTATCCTGATGATGCTGATGATGAGTGTCCAGTCAATGATGAATCAATCCCAGCCAAACCTTGTTGCATGGTGCTCAACACATACACTCTCAATCTTTTTCGGGATTGGAGGGCACTTGTACCAAACCTTGTTGAGCTCTTGGCCTTGCATCAGAAGAATTCAGTAACTAATGCAGAGCCATCACCCTCATTTTGCAATCATTCAACTTGTAATGGCATCTATGAACAATGTCATGTTACATGCTTGTACTGGAACCATAAGATTCAATTCTGACTCTATGTTCTTAGCTAACAGGCTATCCAAAGATTTTAGAACCCAAATGTTCAAATACTGTCATCTCAACCCAGATTTCCTTCCTGTCACCCTTGTTCACCATGGTCTCTTCCCCACTTCTCCTCGAGAACCCTGTGTTGTGGTATCTATCAACCTTTTGAATCTCTACCAAGTGCTCCTGGAGCAATCAGGAACCTCTAACTCAGCCTTCTGCATGGTGCTGCAGAACTTTTATATTGGCTGAAGATTTTGCTTTCTCAATGTGACAGTAAGACAACTCCCTGGACTCATTGGGTAAAAGTCTAAATAACTAGCTTAGGGTGCTCTTATTCATGAGCCCTTCTGTTGTGGGTTTGGCTATGCTGCAAAATGGTACAGGTGTGTCAAGCTAGAGTTGGACCACAAGGTTAATCACATACTCTCCGATTCATGTGGCAGAATACCAGACCATGTTTGTTGTGCCAAGCCACACAGATGCACCAGAATAAACAACTCAGGATGTCTCTAGCACAACACAATACACATCTCCCACAACAGTGAATTATCTAAATATCTCACTTCAATGTAGTCGAGCATTGGAACTAGTGCAACAATGATGCCCTACATGTTTCAGAGAAACATGATTTGGGCAGAGCTTTAACAAGTAAGCCTTGTTTCTTGAGCAATTGTAATGAGCATGCCAAAGGAAACCCAATCTCAAGTCAACTCCAACAAAACCAACCTTCGGAACCCTATGGATTCTGATTCCCAGTTTCTATTTTATATCCCATTCTATATTTAATCTCTCCATTTTAATTTATCAATAGCCTGACATCACTAGCGCAGCATGTCATTGGACTCCATTGGCTACCGACTGGTAGACTACAACCACCGACCACCCTAGAATGTAGACCACTCTGAGTAGGAACTAGATCAGACTCCTAACTAGTATATAAACCTTAGAATTACACTGTAGATACTCAGTTCAAATATCAACTTGGTTCAGCCCAATCTCTCTCTCTCTCTCTGACTCTAAGTCACTCTCACCTCCAGTCCATGGAACTCCAATCCATTGGACTTCTCTCTTATATCACTCTGCGGACTTCTGTCTGTACTCATCTTAGGGCTTCAGCTCAGGGGTGACATTGCTAATAGCTTCGCCTATGCCTGACGCATTCTGCTACGTGCACTTACTGCCACAATCCTATTGGCACGATTCTAACAGCAATCCAATCTACATTCTCATGGTATGCTCAGAGGCAGTGATGTTCATGTTGCCATGGATTGCAACTTCCACCATCATCACCAAACATGCAGGGGACTGTCCAGAGTTCTATGATCTGGAGTTCTTCCTGTCCAAAAGTGAGGTCAATGAAGCCGTTCTTCGAATCCAAAATGCATGCAAGTCAGTGAAGAAGTGCTACTCACCAAAGATCCCTGACATAGCTGTTGATGAGGATGAGAAATCCTTCGAGGCTGCTGATGAGAAGAAAGAGAAAACTCATGGAGGACATTATGATGACCAAGGGCTAGCTGCTCTTGTCTGCCATCATGATGTTCCTTTATTTCTTGGAAATGTAGATACTCCTGGAGAACAGCAAAAGTACACTGTGATGCTTCTCGACTGTGTCACTTCAAACCTTCCAGAGGCAGCCACCATTGCAGTTTTGTATGACATCGGGTGTGTGATGGATTGAAGTGTTAATTTGATGAGCATTTCATCACTAACATCTGAACTTCTCACCAACTACAATCATTCCAGTATGATATCTTTGCACCAGCATTGACAGAACAACTCTTATTTGTGACATCTGCAATGCATGCCTATGGGCACCAGTGGGCTTGCCAATTAGTCTACAATCCATGGTTTCGATCCAGCCTAGGGCTAACTGATGGGGAGGGCATTGAACATTTTTGGTCATGCATTCAGAAGCTCATTGGAATCACCTGAAGCTCTGGGGTAAGCAATCTCCCTTGGTACACCTCCCACTCCACTAACTTCCAGTCTCACTATAGCAATGCCAACAAATATATCTTCTTGATCAACAAGCTTCATTCACAGCACAGTCAATCTGGGACAATCTGGGTGGATGGCTCTGATGGAAGTTGAAGGAGGGTGCTGAGAAGAAGGGTGCCAAGGCTCATGCAGATCTGGAATCCTGTGGGAAGCCAATTGCATATCTACACCAACAGTGGGATGATCAGTGCCAGAGACAGACATTGATATGTTTATGTAAGTTCAGTTCATTGAAAACTGAGTTCTTTGAATGTTTAGTTCTCCTCTTTCTCTCAGATGCACTGGTGAAGAGGCTCTGTGCATGCCAAGCTCGAGATGTGATAGTGTAGACACACTAAACACACTCACACTCACACTCACACACACACAGAATCTCAGTAGTTTGGGGGAGATGTGCAATGCAAGCACACAATAACAGTAGAATTAAAAGATGTCTTGTACTCTTCAAGATATAATAGCCATGCTAACTCAAAAGAATTCTCTAAGTCCAAATGCTTTTAGGACAGAAGGTGAGCAATATGTATCACTTAGCCTTGAGGCAAAAGTAATATTTCCTAAGCCCACAAACATCCCACAAGAATGTACAGCCCTCAATTGACATTGCATGCAACACACAGGTGGCCACAACCCATCAAACAAATTACACACAACTTAGAGCTTTGTGCTCTAAGCAGAAAACACTTTAGAAACCTTTTGTAGATCCACAGGGTTCAAAACTATGTGATCCAGAGACACAGAAATACAGAAACACGTCCACAAGCCACAGGGTTTAAACCTATGCTACTTGGGAATAAACCAAAAACCCTCAAAGAGTATTGACAAGCCAAAGGATTCAAACCTCTGCCACTTGCAACAACTCAGAATTCACAAACACATTCCACAAACACAGATGCACATTCAAGTTATCACAATACAATATTTCTCTGAGTTGAGCACAATCAATTAATGTCCAGAATCAAGCTAGGCATCATGTGAGCAAGGCATGCCTTACAACCTCTCCAGTGTTTCAAAATAATTCTAGATCTAATAATATTCTCTCACTCAAAGCTATGAATGCAAGTCCTTTGGTTGCACACTAGGCTCTCTGCTTTGTGTCACAACTGTGAGGGTCTGAAAGCTTGCTACCTACTTCTAATTACCATGCTTTTATTTACAGCTAATTATATAAATAGAAATATCGAAAATAGATACACTCCACCCCAGAGTCATTTCCTCTCCATGACATGTCAATCACATGGTCACTAACTAATATTCTGAGTCAGTCATCTGAGTTGGTGCTCGGTAACATGCTGCTTGTTCCACTTGGCAAGGTCTAGAGTTGCCACATCATATGGAATATTTCTCCTAATTGGCTCCTTGTTTTTAATTCCTCTGCCATGCACATTGCTAGCAAGCTGGTATTTTTATTTGGTTGCTGCACCATCTTTTTTTAGTTCAATATTTCATTCTGGGTACAGGGTTTCTCTCATGTCAGCCAAAATCTACTCAGGAGGCTCAGACTGGGTGGTCCTCAGTTCTGAATGACATCTCTCAGTGATTGCCAGATTGGCAGGGTTCGCATGTCATAGATCAATGTTGCACAAAGCTCTGTTAATATATTATCTCCTCAGTGTATTTTATTTGAGCAAAGCACTGCTGAGGAATGCATAGGGTGTGAGTTGAGCACTGCAACTTTACACTTAAATGACACCAGTGTGCCATTCTAAGTCTAAGCCATGTGCTGCACTCAGATTATTTTATTATATGCTGCCTCTGCCTCAGCATGTGCTGCTCTATACCAGCTATGCATTATAATATTACTTAGTGGGTTGACACATGCTTGAACTCATAGAATTTGCAAAATTACATGTATGCACACATTGTGCACATGTCATCAGCACAGTTGAAAAGAGAGCTGGATGCCATCTTGACATTACAGGCACATGAAGATACCATGGAAACAGCTATTCAAGTAGCATGGGAAATCTTGGTATCAACCCCCAATCATATCAAGCACCTCCCAAGCATCAATCTGTCACAGCTTTCATATGTCCACAAACAACTCTGTGCTCAGATTGAGCAGTTATATACAGTCCTTGAATGTCTGTCAGACATTCCCAGAACTGGCCAATCTTGATGTTATCTTTGTACAGACTGTCAAGCACCAACTTAGAAATGCAAGGTCAAGCCTTAGTTCATCACTCGTACTTTGGTGAAGCGAAACGTAAGGTAGCAATGCAAGTCAACTGTTAGGTGGTTAGGACTTAATTAGTTGCAAGACTTGGAGTTCAAGTAAAAGTTGGGAGTATATGACTTTAGCCAAAGCTGGGGTTTAACCCACAGCTGAGGCTTGCTTAAATACAGGTTGAGTACTTTAATAATAACTATACTACAAGTGTTCCATGATAAAGAACTTGTGCAACATGGCCAATGGCAATGTGCCAACAAAGAGACTGTCCAATGGTGAGTGGCCAACAAGTCAAGTAGGGTTCTGGAAGAGGGGTGCCCTTGTGGTCGGGACTCTGCCTGTGTAAGAATGTCTGAGCTTGTTCACCATGAACCAGGGATCAAGTGATGGAGAAGTGACTGTCAGTGATCAGAACAAATGATGGCATGATAGAAGTCCAGGGTGATGCAGGAGTATCAGCAATGGGTTACGAATAAACCGAGTGAAGTGATGACAAGATTCAGATGACAATCAAGGAGTGATGACATGAAACATATGATGAAAAAGGAAAAGAAATAGGTGAATTCGTGACACAGACATTGCTTCTTGTGCATGACCTCAAGATGAATATCTGCAAGAGGGCAATCAGAACTTTCTTTGAATGGGACTGATTGAATCAAGCCATGGGTGGACATGAGCAGGCTCTTGGTAGGCATCATCCATACCTTAGAAGAGCCCATCTGACATTTCACAGGTACTAAGCTCCATCAACAAACTCAAAAATCTATCAGCTGCTGCAAGCCAGTTCTCATGGCTGCCATTTGGAAGTTCAATGAATATGTTGAACAACTGGAACAACTGGCAAACAAGAATAAAATCAAGTTTCCTTTGCCATGCCAACTGTCCACTGAGTTAATGCATCTCAAGAACAGTGACAACCTACTACAAGATGTCTGGATCCAGGCTATACTACTGAGGCACCTGCCTAGCTTGTGGATGCAAATATCTGCCAGGGAATTTGGGCCATGCTCCAACTTGACTGATGTTTGGAAGAACATTGCTGACTTGGACATGAAGCAGACTACCTGCTTTCGTGGTTCGAATGTGAACTTGTTGCTCTGCAAATCTCACTACAGAGCATTGAAGTAGGTAAGTATATCACATCCAATGAGACCCAAAAAATCAAACCATGCCCCAGCATTGCAACATTCTCACTCCAAAATGTGCCCATTATCAGCAGGTCTAACAGGGTCTGACAAATGACCAGGAAATCAAGACAAGCAATATACCACCCCTCCCATTCAATGACCTTCATCTCAACTAACTGAAGCTCCACTGAAAGCATCTCATTCCATACCCACTAAAGAAGTTCCAATGATGTCCCAACCATCATCACAGGCTTCTGCTACATCAATGCAACCATTGAGCCATCTGGACAATAATCATGATTTGCCCATTCCAGCATAATGCCCAGCTTCTATTGTTCAACACCTTACTTCTACTGTTCAACATCCACCTTCCGCAAGTCAATGCCCAGCTTCTGCAATTCAATGCCCAGCTTCTGCCATCCAATGCCCAGCTTCAGCAGCTCTACATCAACTCTTGACAGTTCAACAGCATTTGGCAGTGCCTACAATTCAGATAACCACTCCATCACTGGCAGGACTGGCAGCAAGCCAGAGCTCAACTACTGGAAGAGCTGCTGACATACATCCATTGTCGGCACCTGTAGAGGATGGTCATAGGCCCTCTGTTGGACATTCTGAGACATACCATGATGAAGATATTGTTCTGATGTCAGACCCCTGAGAAGAATCATTGCTTGTAATAACAAAGGATGATCCTGCTCACCTTCCAGCTGATGATCCTGCCAAGAGAGTTGAAGAGGTTCACTCAGCATATGCTGACTCTCATAGTACAGATGATGATCTTACCAAGGCATGACATGGATGTTTGAGTGTGGAAACAATATCACGCATTGAGACTACATCTGAGAAGATATGGGCTCTTATTCAGGATGTGATCAGCAGAGACCCTGTCATATCACTATCACACATCATTGACTGTGCATTTTCAAGTCTTGGAGCTCACAAGATGACCTATTGGAACATCTTCCTGGCAAAATACAAAGCTGAACATCCTGATGAGCCCTGAGATCAAAACAAAGCCCAATAGGAATACACCAAGTTTAAAGAGAATGATGGATGGAAGAACATCCTCATGATGTATTCTAAAATCATTGATTTGGATGCTGGGCAAATGATGCTGATGTGCTCAGTAATGATGAGTGATAAAAGGCTAGTGGATAGATATGAACACCACAACACTAAAACTCTCTACTACTCTACACAAATCACCAATTATATTGAGTTCAGGTGTTTTGAGTATGATAGAAGCACTCTGCAGACTTCAATAAATCAGGAAAAGGGTTGTTTAAAAACATATATTTGGTACTAGTGAGCTACACAAGATGTAATACTCGTGCTAGCATGGTTTTAAGACATGATTGGATGAATAGTGACTTTGGTTGAGCAACTGCACTCAGTCTAACTCTGATACTTTGAAACTAGTGGCACTCTAGGCCAAATACTGGGTCTCACAAGTGGTCTACACTTGACTAGCAGCATCCTAGGCTTGACTAATGGCACTCTTGGCCTAAGAACAAATACTTTAACTAACTTCAAAACACTCTGAGTCACTCCAAGGTGGAATAGCAACTTTAAGACACTTCAATTCATTAAGGTTCAGTGCAAAAGCCTTTAATTGGGGCACTAGAATACTGACTAGTAGGTCACAATTATGGGGATGGCTTGCCTAGCTCTCTAGGCCACCTCTTCTACTACTTATATACTATGGAGAAAGGTATAGGATAAATATAAATAAATTCATAGGAATAATATTGGTAAGAATATCTTGGTTAGTCATGAATAATGGTGAATAGTCATGCCATAGTCAGCCTAGGCTGGTCTTTCTGTTGGATAGCAGGTCTAGAGACCCTGCTATTGGTCTTTTCCATACTCTTGGCCCAACCATGCTCCACTAGTGACATGGCTAAATGGATAGTCAAGTAACCATGCCTGTAGCAACTGCTTGATCATGATCAAAACGCAGCCCAGCTATACTAGTACTGATCGTATTAGATCTGTATCACACTAGCCAGATCTGGGCTAAGGGCTATGTCTTTACTTGTTCATTTCTAAGTCCTGTCTGAAGTGCTCATGTGACCAGCTATCTTGACTTAGGTGTTCATGCCCAGATTGGTCCACTAGTGACTGAATGGTCAAGGTCTGTGTGGGTTCTTACTTCTTGTTTGGGTGCTAGCAGCTGCACTCATTACTAGTGACCATATTTTACTGAGTCTCAGTAGTTCAGAGGCACTAGTCCAGTCAGCTGGTAGGTCTAACCCACTACTGGTATCGTCCCTAAGTCCTGACTCAACTAGTAGCATGCTAACTCAACTATCAGTTTGAAGCCTCAACTACAGCCCTTGTTGTTTAACTAGTATTGGATAGACATGCAATAGTATTGTTATAAAATCGCAAAATCTAGGTGTGAACATGTAGATAGTGTATCAACACATGGCAGGCATCAAATGATCTTCAAGAATACCTTCAACAAGCTTGAAAAACAGGTACATTTTGAACATCCTGTACTTGTCATCCTGTCTTATTAATTCGGTGGTTTACCAGTTTGACTACAATGCTCACCAAAATGGGTTTGATGCAATCCTTACTATTGTTGGTGGAAATCTGATGCATGATGGACCCTCCATGGCAGCAGTACATGAGACTGAACTTGCTTGAGGAATAAGTTCTTATACCTGCTGTTTCTCCTTGAAAAGTATTCATGTTGGCAACTAGTTTGCAGATCAGAAGCTGCTTTTAAAAGATGATTGGGCAGCAACACACCTTTGGGCCTATGTCCAGTGATTATATTTGTTATTTTCACCAATGAAATGATGCTGATCCACCTGAACAGGAATCAGAAGTCAGATAGTGTGATTAATCTCCATCGACAAAGACTACTTTAACTAGAGGAAGAGAGTGTAGAAGACTCTCCTCCACCTGACAAAGTCCTACCTTATTTTCCTCCCAAAGAAACATCATCCAGTACATCAAACAACACTCGCATAAATGCCAAGGAAGCATATAAAGGCCCATACAAGCTTCTCAAGCCCAACAATGCAAAATTGGCTCATACATCCTGCTGTGTGAACCTATGTGCCTTGATGGGATGTATGCTGTCAAGACTTTGCCTTCAGCACTGACTTTATGACATTGGTAGATCATTATAGTGTTCTGTTGCATATCAATGCAATTGATAACACAATGGTGGACTACCCAGATTACAGGTCATGCCCTTGGAAGCAAGTTGGCAAACCATTCTATAACCATAATATGGTTCTTCTTGGCTGGCTGCTGTCAGTACCATTGCCTATTACTGATTAAAAAGGATCCAACATAGATACCCAAAGGTGTTTCATCTTTGACTGATAGTCAAAGAGAGTGCCTGGTGAAGGCTTTTGAGGATTCAACAGTTACAATAGCATATATGAACCTCTCTTCTTATCATGAAATCCATTGTGCTAAATGTCTTCTACAGAAGGACCAGCAGACTGCAACATAAACACATATGTGTTTGTGTGAACTACAATAGATTCAGCAACAGACACATATCATGAAGCAGTATATTGTGCTGCTGCCATGGGAGAATCTAGGATGTGAACCATATCAGTATCCAAGCCCACCAAAACAAGTGCCATCAATTCAGGTGAAAATTCATGTCATGGACATAATAAGGTATTTTATTATATAAGAATGTCAGGATAGTGGCTCACAGTCCTTTTACAGACCAAAAACAATAGTGACAATCTGAAGACAGGAGAAAAGAGGATTCATTCTGCTGTGACATTTGAGGAACCTCCTACAGATGATCAAGACAAGCCTGGGAATAGTGATAGAAATAGGGACAGAAATAAAAAGAGTATGACCAGAATCACTCACTCCCAGAAAAGAGTGAAGATTGCCACCTTGAATGATGCAGCAGAAGGTGCTTCTGGCAAGTCACATATGGCTGGTGAAGGTGTTGCAACATGTAGGAGCACCCATAAACAGGGATCTATAAGTGCCGTATCACCTGTAGATGATAACATCAAAGGTACAAGCATTAAGCCCTCAATGCTGCATGAATATCTGACTAACTCAGATGATCAGAAATGAGCAATGTCACTCCAGCTGAATGTCCCCAGCTCCATCTCACCTACAAGCAATTGTTGGGATCCATGCCAATCCAAATGCCCATGTGACTACAACTACGTATGTCAGTTCTACAACAGAACCACACAGCAGTACCAAATACTTATACTCAATCTTTCAAGAGCACCGACAATTAATAAAAACCAACTTCCTTCTTTCCTTCCTTACCAAAGCATGCAGCACTAAAAAGGGAAGATGAGTCATTCACTCTTGCTTTTCTTGCCCTCAACTCTCATTGTCCCTTGCAGTTATGGGTAAGGAATCTGATGATTCTTGAAAAGCTGTGAATATTCACTTATGTCTACAGGATATTCACTATGGCTCATCCCATCCCCCAAGGAATACAAAGCCTGGGAAAAGCTGATGGAGTTCCAACCACTTCATTCCTCAGTGAAGCCTGATTCTAAATCATATCCTGGTTTTGCTCCCCACATTATGCTCACCACATTCACCAATTTACTGCCTGCTGTAACAAACATGCTGATGGAACCCTGATCTCAAGTCAACTCCAACAAAACCGCTCTTCGGAATCCTATGGATTCCAATCCTCAGTTTCTATTTCATATTCTATTTTATATTTAACCTCTCCATTTTAATTTACCAGTAGCCCGACATCACTAGCACAGCATGTCATCGGACTCCACCAGCTACCGATCGGTAGACAACAACCACCGACCACCCCAGAATATAGACCACTCCGAGTAG